CAGCTGAATAACTTCAAGGAACAGATGTCTAAAATGACTCAATGTATCACCGCTCAGCAAACCCAGATAAATGAGACTTTGAAAATGATGAATCAAACAGCTGAGAAGGTGAAAGAAGTGGATGCCACTGCCCAAAAGGTGAATAAAAAAGTAAAACAACTGGAAAAGAAGCAAGTCTTCACAGAAGATCAATTGCTACAACTACAAATGGAAAAGGCTAATATGATTCTTCGCTTCTAGGGCATGCCAGAGACTAAGGGAGAGAATCTGAAAGAAATGAAGAGTGAAATATTGGCCCCAGTGACAGAGACAAAGGTGGAATTATTGATAAGCGATATGGATGTGGCCTACAGGTCATATTCAGGATATATAAAGAAAAACAATCTGCCTGGGGAAATTGTTGTAAGATTCTCGAAGAGGCATGTAAGGGATGCAATCCTGAAAGCAGTATCTGGAGTACCCCTGAAAGTTGGGGAGAATGTCATCAGAGTTCTAAAAGATATTCCATTTAAAATAAGACAAAGGAGAAAGAAATATAAAGATCTTATTCTTTTTCTTCAGACAAATTCAATTGGATAGAGATAGCTAACTTCAGAAGGCATCACCTTCAAAATTAAGGATAAAAAAGAAAAGATTGACTCTGTTCTGAAAGCTTGGGAATTTTTAAGAGTCCAGTTGGGAGGGCCAGAGGAGGAAGAAAAAGAAGGGGAGGACAGCAAGTCCAATGGCAAGCTGGACTCGGATTCTTCTGGAAAGGACTCTCTTTCAGAGAAAGGGGCAGCAGAGCCTAAAAGTCCTTATAAGCTGCGGAAGAGACGGAGTAAGGAGAAGTGAAGGCTGAAGGACTCTGAATTGTGCCTTTGAAAAACTTGGAAATGAGATGATTTGGGTTATTTCTTAATGGCAGTTAATTTTAAGAAATGAAAAAGTTAATGTTACACTTGACTCAGTTTGTAAAGGGATCAGCTGGATTAAGACTTGATGTTTGTTTAAGTTGATTAGAAGGTCTCCTCTCTTGGGTTTTTAGTTAGTAGTGGGTATCTTTCTTTTATCCCATAAATGTAGTTCCCCTCCCCATTTTCTGTTGTAGTTTGTAGTATTATAAAAAATAAAAAATCCCCTTCGGGGGCTATAAAAAAAATAAAATAAAGGGATTATACAAGTTGACTTTTAGTCACATGTATCCCATTCAGACATGGAATTTGTGCATGGGCATCTGGATGTGCTGGAAGTGGGACACACATACTCATTGGACTGGGTGGAAGGATGTGACCTTTCTTCTCTGCCATGCATAGAGAGAAGCTAAGGGATGGAACTGAGAAATTGGCGAACATCCCTTCTGCTACATACTGCCTGCCTTTCTTGTCTTTCCAAACATCACTCTGCACATTCACTGTGAAAAATCACAGACATAAATATGATTTCACACTTCCTGCTTGGTTCTCAAATCCTTTTGGTAGTCATGGAGAGAAGAGTGTGTATGTGTGTGTGTGGGGGGCTATTGCTGCAAATATTCAGGATTGCGTTCCTTCCCAGTTTCTTCTCTTGAAACTGTCATTACTGCATTTACTGCTGGAATCAAGAGTTGGGGGAACATTCTCTATTCCATTTCTCTTTCTAGTTCTTGATACTTTTTGTTGGATGCAGTAGAAAAAAGCAAGAGTCCAGTAGCACAGCAGTGACTCACAAAAGTACATCCCCTGCCACAAATTTTGTTAGTCTACTGGACTCTTGCTCTTTTCTGCTGCTACAGACAGACTAAAATGGCTACCCATTCTGTTGGATGGTTTCACTTCTCTGCTTTTCACCACTGGTTTCATACATAAATTTGTATTGTGTGCACCCTTTATATGCATTGCTTGCCTACCATATTTGGCAGGGATAGGCAACCCTTGACCTGCATTCCAAACAGCGGCACAGCAGATGCTTTTGCACGATGCATTCAGCTGGTTCTCCATCCATGGGACAAAAACGAGTCTCTGAGGCACTGGGACCCAGCTTGTTCCTAGCATGTCTAGTTGAGTTAGGGCTGCTAAGCCCCTGATGGTGGCAGGGGATGCCCCATCTCCAGGTCTCATTGCCCACCACCACTGCTTGGAGAGGCAGCAGGAGATTTAAAAAAAATGCAGCATCATGTTTTACCATAGAGTTTTCAGCAATTCCTAGAGCAGGGGTGTCAAACATAGGGCCCGGGGGCCAGAACTGGCCATTCCAGGGCTCTTATGTGGCCCGTGAGCAACTGATGCAAGGAAGGGAGTGCTGGGGGGGAGTGGGTGGAGCCCCTCCATTGTGGCTTCAGCATGGCAGAACAACCTCATCTGCATCATTCAAGCATTGTGGGAGCATTTGCCCAGCACTGCACTGCTGCCTCTCCAGTCCCCCTATGTCTGTTTTCCTCGGCACCCCCCTCCCAGCCATAGAGCCTTGAAGTGAGGGTACACCAACTTGGAGCTTACCAGCGGCTGTCCAGCTGCTGAGCCAGTTTGGTGTAGTGGTTAAGTGCACGGACTCTAATCTGGGAGAACCGGGTTTGATTCCCCACTCCTCCGCTTGCATCTGGCTGGCTGGCCTTGGGCAAGCCGTAGCTCTGATAAGAGCTGTTGTTGAAAAAGAGCAGTTTCTGTCAAGAGCTCTCTGAGCCCCGCCTACCTCACAGGGTGTCTGTTGTGGGGAGGGGAAGGGAAAGGAGTTTGTAAGCCGCTCTGAGACACCTTTGGGTAGTGAAGGTCGGGGTATAAATCCAATCTATTCTCTTCTTCTTCTTTATGCAGTTTCTTTCTCCGGTACCTGGCATTATGTTTTATAGCATACATGGCCTGGCCCGACAAAGTGACATTTATGTCAGATCCGGCCGTTGTAACAAATAAGTTTGACACCTCTGTCTTAAAACTACCTTTTGTCACTTCTGGGGCAGCTGTAGGAATCAATGGAAACTCCACCACACATCAATATCTTCTCAGGCAGATGTTGCAGGGTATTTTGGCACTTGGGCCAAAATGGTTGCCTGTCCTTGGTATATGATATTTATACATATGATATATGTCATTTATATATTGCATAGTACTGCTCTTATTTATTTATTGACTGTCAAGTCACAGCTGACTTAGGGTGACCCCGTAGGGTTTTAAAGGCATGATATGTTCAGGGCTGGTTTGCCATTGCCTGCCTCTGCCTAGTGACTGCTGTTTTTGGTGGTCTGACCAAGGCTGACCCTGCTTCTGAGATCTGTCAAAATCGGGCTAGTCAGGTCAGGGCATAGTATTACTTCATTTATGTGGAATTAATGTTGAAAATTATGTTCATTCTAAGGCTGTGGAGAAATGGAAAACAGAGCAAAAACAATAACAAATCTTGGGTTTGGTTTGCTTGTAGGAGATGTAAACTTGAAATGAAGATTTGGGGATTGTAACTGTGGGAATGAGAAATTATAAAGTATCCTTAGTTAGTGCATTAGCAAAATAGTAGCCGATTTGCCAGTCTCCCATTAAAGGCTATGAACATGCGAGAGAGACTTCCATTATTTCTGATGAAGATTAATTGTCCATGAAGCAATCCATGATGGGGAGAAAAGTGTTTTTTCCTCCCTGGGGCTCTTATAATCTCCTTTTCTCTGTGTTTTGTTCTCTCTTCTCTTACTATCTCCTGCCTTAACATGTTTCATATTGCAAACTATAATTTTATATTCACCCACCTGCCGTTTTTATGTTGCCTTTAGACAGGAAATGTGACTACTTATTTGGTTTAAATTACTCCTGTCTCTGAAATAGAGGTGCTTAAAACCTGCTGTTTGATGGCAGTTTACAATAAGTAAACCTTTTCATCCCACAACCAGAGATAAGATCCTGGCTATCACTAGAAATCCCCCCTACCCCACCTATGACCTAGTTTGATGATGATGAAAGGCTGATGACAGGTAAAGCATTCTGGAACTATTCTTGCCATGTTCAGGATAAACAGTCTTTTCCTATCCAGGGAGGGGTTTCAGGGAAAAATGCATCTGTGCATTTGTAGCAAAAGCTGGCTGCGCATTGTCCTGATAGGCTAACACCCGTGTCATCCCCAAGACACCCCACCATGTTTGTAGTAAAAGCTAGCTGTGGATTGCCATGATAAATTAGTGCCCGTGCCATCCCTAAGACACTCCACCATGTTTGTAGTAGAAGCTAGCTGTGGATTGCCCTGATAGGCTAGCATCTGTGTCCTTGCCAAGGCATTCCACCAGGTTTGTAGCAAAAGCTAGCTATGGATTGCCCTGATAAGCAAGCTCCAGTGTCATCACCAAGATACTCCACCATGTTTGCAACAAAAGTTAGCTCTGGATTGCCCTGATAAGCTAGCTCCGATGTCATCACCAAGATACTCTACCATGTTTGTAGCAACAGCTAGCCCTGATAGGCTTGCACCCGTGTCGTCACCGAGGCATTCCACCTTTGCAGTTTCAAAGACTTTCAGGCTTGCCCATGTGCTCCTTTCCCCCCTGTTTGGAGATGCCTTGCACCCATCTAGCCCCCCCCCCTTAAGAAGCCATGGGGTTTCACGTTACGGGACTTCAATAAAAACCTAACCAAGGGCATTTTTTATGGTTGAGTATGATTCAGCCGGGTCTTCTAATGGCCGCCCTGTACTTATTGCGTTCCGTTTCAGTTCACAGTTCAAAAGAAATATATCTCAATGACTCAATTTCTTTACCAGCACTGAATTTCATAACAGAACTTTGTTTTCCCCTAACTAGCGGGCTAACTATGGATTAGTTCAGCTTGGGAAGGATCTTTCTGTTCTACTTTTCATGTTTCAAACAGATGCCAATACATTTGATAACAGTTTCCTAGTTTCCCCAGGATATTTCAAACTGCACAATCCATTGGGAGTGTGGGGCCTATTCAGTAGGAATCTGTCTGGATTTATCTGCTTTGTAAAGCTATCCTGGTAAGGTTTTGTGTCTTTGTTGTACAGCTGTACCTTTTTGTTTTATACCATTGTTTCTCTTTGTCTCCACACAGCTGGCTGTACCTTTGAGGAAGATGGGGACCTAAACCAATGTGACTATAGCCAAGGCATGGAGGACGACTTTGAGTGGGAACTAGTCCAGAGCTACATCATGCCCCATCTGACCTCTGATCTTCCTCATGGTGAGTTTGAACATAGGTTTGCAAATTTGTTCTGATATATGCTTTTGGGGCTGGGCTGGCATCGGAGACCCACATGGTTTGGGGCCTGCTGAGGCCCACAGCCTGGCAGAATGCTCACACCTGACTGGAGACACTGTGTTGAATGCATGTTTTCTGGTGGGAGGGCTTTTCTGCACTCTTCTTTTTGTCACTTGCACTTTTAAAGTGGAGGGAAATATGCCAGAATGTCACAATGTAATATTGAAGTGACTGCTAGAGGGAGCAAAACACATGCAGAAAAGAACAAAAATAACAAAGCAATATGGGTACACAAGCAGTGAAAATAAGGCTGTGGAAAAGCCTGGAGAAAAAGCCTGGAGGTGGTCAAAGAAGTTGAGCTCATGAGGGTGGCATTCTGCTCTCTCTCTATACAGCTGCCAAGAATCACCACAGGACCCTAGACAAAGATGCTCCTATCGCTGCAGGTGAAAGCAACTTACATTTCTTACCATTGTTGTCTGTATCAGATATATCAGAGGCTCCTGACCATGAACTAAAGGGGATCTCCACATTCAGAGGCAGTAAACACCTGGTAGAAAATCAGTACCAGGAGGCAACATTAGGGGAAGGCCTCCATCTCTATGTCCTGTTGCTGGCCCTCCAGACTAACTGGTTGGACACTGTGAAACAGGATGCTGGACTAGATGGACCACTTGTTTTGTCTTTCTATGCAGAGGATGACAGATACTACTCTGGCCTCTTCCCATCCAGCATTCTGTACCATCCCATGCTTTCAACCCTACCAGGCATCACCCAGACCAACCTGACATTACAAGGAAACAAATTGCAAGACTTGCCTAGATCTGTAGGCCCCATGGAGTTCTGAATTTTGTCTCTTAGCCCCCTTTCTTGGTGGCCTGAAGTACCAATGGTGGATATTGTGTGGATTTGTTTTCTATTTTCCCCCCTCCAAAATTCAGGACGTCATTTGTGAGAAGGTCACTGAAACTACCATTTAAAACTAAATTTGAAAATGCCTGAAATTCAGAAAGTGGAATCCTGAAATTCAAAATCTCTGAATGTTGCCAGATTTTGTTGCAAATGTTTTGTTTCAGCTCTAGTTTCTACTGCTTTTGGGTTGCGCCGAGGATTCAGTCTGCACTGGCTTTGCTGTTGTCCCTGTGTATTATCCATTGTGTGTATGCGGACTGTGGCAGTGCCACACACCAAAATGTTCCTTTGATCCCCACAGAATGCTCCATGTAGTTGCATGTGAACTTTTCCTCCCTCTCCCAAAATAATAGAACTCGAAGGCATCCAGTGAAGCTGATGGGCAGTAGATTCAGGATGGACAAAAGGAAATAATTCTATACACAGAGAGTGATTAAAATGTGGAATTCACTGCCAGAGGGTGTAGTGATGGACACAGGTTTAGATAGCTTTAAAAGGGGATTATAGATTCCTGGAGGATAGGTCTATCAGGGGCTATTAGCTATGGTGACTAAAGGGAAAGTTCATGTTCAGAGGCTGTTAGCCTCTGAATCCCAGTGCCAAGAGGCAACATCATGGGAAGGCCTCAGCCTCTATGCACTGTTGTTGGCCCTCCAGAGGAACTGGTCAGCCACTGTGTGAGACAGAATGCTGGGCTTCATGGACTACTGGTCTGATCCATCAGGGCTCTTCTTATGTTGTTAGGTGGGTAGGTTCTGGCTGTGACTTGAGGTGAAGGCTCTATGGATACACAGAGAGAAGTATTCCTTTCACAAAGGCAAGGCGAACCTACACTGCTTTTCATAGTTTCAAGACTGAGCTGGATTTGACAGGGTAGCCAAATTTTGTACAAGGCAATATCTGTATATCTATTCTTTTACATGAACATGAGTGTGCAGGTGAGAAGATCTAGAATTTCCCCTCTTAATTTACCTCACCATGTCAGTACTTTTCTCCTCAACACAATTAGTATAGGAGAAAAGTCCTTCAGACAACAGAGCACAGTGGGGTAAGTTAGGGACAAGAGTAGAGAGTCTCCTACTCCTGCTCTGGTGCTTAAGCCAGGGTGATGTGTGAATGTGATTCTACCCTATTGTATCTGGTCTGGCTCTCTCTTTGTGACATTTGAAGAAATGGCAGCCATTTTGTTATTGGAATCTCTGCAGCATTTAACCCATGTGTCCTGTACTTTGACCTTCCTAGCGTGTCAGAGGACTGACCTCTTTTGGGATTGTGTTTTCCCCGCTAGCCATTAACTGGAGGCTAGGAATGATCACTCAACCTAAGGAGTCAAGTTCAAGTCACCCTGTGCATTGCTGAAGGCTAGATGGTGTGAAGGATGTCATATAGAATAGATTTAGACCATAGGATGGGCAGAAGGTCTGACCAGCAGGTCAAAGCTTCCACAGCAAGAGAGACTGAATGAAGGATACATCAGTACACTACTAATTTTTTTCCTGACTCTGGGATGACCATATTGGTCCTAACCCAAGGGGCAGAGCTTGTTGGATTTATGTGCAGCTATGAAACTGTGGACAGAACAGCATATTAAACTTCATTTTCTTTTGGCATTTCAGTTTGTGTTGCGATTTCTTTCCTGAATTGTCAGTGCAATGCATTACATCCTGGCTGAAATGTATTGGTCTTAAGTGCAATTCTGATTTTATTTTTGACAAGCATCTGGAACAATTTGCAACTGAATGGAAGTTTGCAAATGACGTAAAGATATGGGAGATTGGTGGTGAATAATGATGAGGACTTGGCAGTCATACATAAAACTATCTGGATTCCTGGGTAAGCTTGGCTCATTCTCACAGTACACATGTTAAGGTAGCCAAATACAAGGTCATACATCTAGAATGACAGTGTAAGCAATTTCCTGGGCAACTGTATGTTAAAAAGCAGTGACATTCTGGAAGGGACTTAATAGTCACTTGGAATTTGGTCTTTGCAGAGGGTTTTTTTTTTTATTCTACCAAGCAATTATTCTTCCCAGGTAGCAATTAGTTTTCCTTTTGCACAGGATACTTTGGGTTGGATCCAGCCAGTTGTCTTGCTCAATGTCACTCAGTTCTCCTCAATTCTCCGGCTCCCTTCCCGTATGGCTTTTGTTTATGCAGGTTTCATGGTCTCTGGCATAGGACATTTGGTGGTCAAAGGGGACCCCCTCCTCTCTTTTGCACCAACAGCAAAACTGATTGAATCCAGCCCTTTATTCACTCAAGAAAGGCCCAGCATATTTGCAGAACAAATGCTGTAGTCTTCTGCCTTGTTGGTCATATATTATCATAGGGGTAATGACATATGGTGTGTGGGCTGCGTGTGGCCCAACAGAACCATTTTGTGTGGTCCACAGCACCTTCCGCTGAGGCAGGGGGAGCAAGACACTAAGGTATTCCAACCCCCTCCAGCCTCTTCCACATCTAAGAGCAGGGCTATGGCAAGAAGTTTCTGGTGTAGTGTGTGTGTGTGGTTGTAGGGAATACCAGCTGAGCATCTGAGAGGCCCACTCCAACTGTTATGGGTGATATCACAGGGTGGCCCACTTTGTTCCAGTCAGCAGCTATTATGGCTCATGTAAGTGTTCAAGTTATTCACTCCTGCATTAGCAACAGGCTGTGATTGGCCACCCATCCTACCTGGTTCAGTACAAGTCATTATCTGCGGTGCTAGAGGCTGGATGATGTGATGAAAGGCTTGTGAAAGGCTATGGCTCAATGTAAGAGCCTCTGCTTGGCATGCACAAGGTCCCAGGTTCAATCCCTGGGATCTCCAGTTAGAAAGGTCCAGGCAGTAGGTGATGTGGAAGCCTCTACCTGAGACTCTGGAGAACCACTGCCAGTTTGAGTAGACAATACTGACCTTGATGGACCAATGGTCTTATTCAGTATAGGGCAGCTTCATGTGTGTGACCAGCACTGGCAATATCTGTAAGGCATTGAAGAACCTCTAAGACCTAATGCACGGTGGGATGGCAGGAGACCTGGGTTCATGAAACACACTGCAAGACCTTGGACATGTCATGTGTTGGATGGCAGTATAATATAGGAGAGGGAGAACCACACATGTGCCCCGAGCTTTTTGGGAAAAGGTATGAGAATATATGAGATAAATATTATTAGAAATAACTAATTATGACACTGCAGGCTTGTACACATCTGACAAATTCTCATCTGCAGTCCCTATTATTATGTTCAGCTGGCTATTCAGGAAGTTGCTATCCCAACATCAGAATGCAATCAGTCTTTAACCTCCGTCTGTCTCTGTTCGAAGAACATATTAAAGTGCAGCAACTGGTCAGACCTATGCTCACTATTAGCATCAGTTCTGTTTGTCTCCTGCTTCTTATCCTTTAAGCCATGCTAGTCTAGGTGTAAACATTCAGCTTACAGCCTCAATAAGTTTTAGAGAAATTTTATTTTTGTTTTTCCATCATCTTCCCCAAATCTCTCCTCCCTGATTTATTTCTGTTTTCACTAGAGGTGTGCATTAGGGTACTTCTGATCCAAAACAGTGCCACAAATGCCGTTTCATTTTGAATCGCAGTACCCAAAACGAAACAAGGCATTCACGATATTTTGGCATTTTAAAATTCAGCTTCTTCTGAATATCAGGAATATCAGGGATATAATAATATCAGGAATATAATAATTTTGTTTGGCTTCCAGTGTTTTCAGTGGGCAGTAGATCTGGCATCTGGAGTCCAATTCTGCCCCTGCTGATTCCAGTGGATGATAGACCTGTTGTGTGGCCTCCCCTTTGTGGATACCCAGTGCTCATGTAACCAAAAAGATATTCCTGAAATGGATTCCCAAAACAATATCCTCTCTGTCATTGTTTCATGAAAATGGTAATCACACCCTTTCTGGAATCACAGAATTGAATTAAAACAAAATACTGAAAATTTCGAAATGGAATGTGATATGGCAGATGATATAGCAACAATTCTCAAATCTGCAGTGCAGGATTGTTCCTTATAGAAGCTAGAGATTCTCTCTTTTGGTAAAAAAAAATGGGGCTTGAAAGAATCC